CCTTAATTTAGTTTGCCCATTATACTTTATTTTAATTATTCATGGCATTGCTTAACATGCCAGGAAATGTCTTGTAATAGAATTTATAAAATAATGTAGTTTCAGTAATATGAATACTATCTTTAGCATTTTGCTTTTAAGACTCAGATTAAAATGTTTTGTAAGTAATTATCTAGTTTGGTGAATAAAAGCTTGTCTTTGCTTTGTAACTTTATCCATTTTAGAATTTTGAAACCAAATATTCACTAGAGAAAAAGAAATGGAATAGTTGATGTGTGTAATTTTGTTGTCGAGTAAGTAAGAAAAAAAATTGTAAAAAGAAAAAATACATTCTCCTAACACAACAATAATTTTTCATTTTGGGTATTACTTTCTAATACTTACTCATATACATGCTTCCCCCCCCCCCCCAATAGATCCAGTAAGTTGATTGTTCATGTTACTGAAAAGCATAGTCCCTGTCTACTTACCCTTTTTGTGTCAAGTTAGATATTTAAGGAATAGAGGATTGGTTCACATACCATTAACCTTAAGTGGGTGAGTTAGAGGTGAAACGTAATAAGCAAGCCTAAAGATATAAATTCCAGTTGAAATTTGGACATTTGTTTGTCTTTGGTTACATTAGGAGGTGGAAGTAAGCAAGAAAGAGCTCTTCTTTTAGTATTGCTTTGGGTTTTTGCATATCCAGGGTTTACTTCTGTTTCTTATTTTTACTCTTAATGATAGAGATTCACAAATATTGTAAGTGTGGACTTAAATTTTGTGCCTAGATAGAAAGGTTATATATTCTGAGGTATTTATGTGAAAAAATTGGTAACACATTTAAAACAAAATAGGCAGCAATTAGCTCTTTCCTTATGACTACACAACAGTAATTGGTAAAAATGTTTCCATCCCTTTGATGACTGTTAAGTGAAATCTTTATTCTTTTAAGGTTCCTTCCCTTCCCTCCCCTCCCCTCCCCTCCCCTCCCCTCCCCTCCCCTCCCCTCCCTCCCTCCCTCCCTCCCTCCCTCCCTCCCTCCCTCCCTTCCTCCTCCTCCTCCTCCTCCTCCTCCTCCTCCTCCTCCTCCTCCTCCTCCTCCTCCTCTTCTTCTTCTTCCTTTTCTTCTTCTTTTTTTGGTAGTAGATGGGAGACATATTCCTTAAGTGCTGAAGTTTGGACAACAAAAACAGAATTGCTTTTTATCTCAACTTGAGAATAATTTTATTAGGAGGGGGTCTGGTGATTCTTTTTTTTTAAGAAAAATATATTTTATTGATTTTTTTGCAGAGAGGAAGGGAGAGGGATAGAGAGTTAGAAACATTGATGAGAGAGAAACATCGATTAGCTGCCTCCTGCACACCCCCTACTGGGAATATGCCTGCAACCAAGGTACATGCCCTTGACTGGAATCAGACCTGGGACCCTTGAGTCCGCAGGCCGATGCTCTATCCGCTGAGCCAAACTGGTTAGGGCGAGACTTTGTTTTTATTCTAATATACGGGCTATCTTTGAAAATGTCCCATATGCACTCGAGAGGAATGTATATTCTGTAGCTTTGGGGTGAAATGTTCTGTAAATGTCAATTCCATCTGATTTATTATGTCATTTAGAAGCGTTGTTTCCTTGTTGATTTTTTTGTCTAGAAGATCTATCTAGTGATGTCAGTGGAATGTTAAAGTCCCCTACTATGCTTGTATTGCTGTCTATCTCTCCCTTAAAATCCTCCAGAAGTTATAAAATATATTTGGATCCTCCTATATTGTGTGCATATACGTTTACCAGGGTTATATCCTCTTATTGGATTGATCGCTTTGGTATTATGAAGTGGCCTTCATTGTCTCTTGTTATGGCTTTCACTTTGAAGTCTGTTTTGTGAGATATGAGTATTGCTACCTCAGCTTTTTTTTCATTTCCATTTGTTTGGAAAAATTTTTTCCATCCCTTCACTTTCATTCTGTGTGAGTCGTTTGTTCTGAGGTGATTTTGTTGCAGACACCATATATATGGGTCATGTTTTCTTATCCATTCTGCTACTCTATGTCTTTTAATTGGAGCATTTAAGTCAGTTACATATAAGGTTATTATTGATAGGTATTTATTTGTTGCCATTTTTACTCTTTATGCCTGTGTTGTTCTCTTTCTATTTCTTCTTTGTACACTGGTCCCTTTAGCATTTCTTGCAGTATTGGTTTGGTGGTAATACATTCTTTTAGCCTTTTTTTTTTGTCTGCAAAGCTCTTTATTTAACCTTTGATTTCAATGATAGCCTTGTTGGATAGAGTAGTCTTGGAGTCAGTCCCTTGATTTTCATTACTTTGTATACTTCTTGCCACTCCCTTCTGGCTTGAAGTGTTTCTATTGAGAAATCAGCTGACAGTAGTGGGAGCTCCCTTCTAGGTAACTTTCTGTCTCTCTCTTGCAGCCTTTAAGATTATTTATTTGTCTTTAATATTTACCATTTTAATAATTATTAGCTTACTAGTATGTGTGGGTCTTTTAGGGTTCATCTTGGCTGGAACTCTGTGTTTCCTGAACTTACTGGCATGTTCCTTCACCAGGTTAGGGAAATTTTCTGCCATTATTTCAGCAAACAGATTCTCTATTCCTTGCTTGGGTTCTTCTCCTTCTAGTCCTGCTATGATGTGAATGCTCTTACTTTTCATGTTATCTCCTTAATCTGTCCTCCTGCCTTTTAAATATTTTCCCATTTATTGTTCTGAATGGGTGTTTTTTCTACCTTGTCTCCTATTTCACTGATTTGGTCCTCAGCTTCTTCTAGCCTAATGCTGAATCCTTCTGTGTGTGCTTTATTTCAGCTATGTCGTTCCTCATTTCCAATTGATCCGTATTCATTGTTTCAACCTCTGTTTTCATGTTGATGTAGCTATTCTTAAGTCCCTTATAATTTTCATTAAGTTTTTTATAATTCTCATTAAGTTTCTTTTAGTTCTCACTGAATTGTTTGAGCACCCTCATTACCATTACTCTAAATTCTTTACCTGACAAATTGCTTGCCTCCATTTCATTTAGTTCCTTTCCTGACTATTCCTTTTCTTTCATTTGGGGGTTGTTTATTTGTCTCCCTGTTATGGCTGCCCCTTTGTATTTGTTTTTATGTATTAGATCAAACTTCTATGTCTCCCAGACTTTGTGGGGTGGTCTTATATAGTGAATGTTTTGTGGGACCCAGTGGTGCAGTTTCTTAGATCTCCTGGGCTGGGTGTTCTAGGAAAGCCCCCTCCCTACTTGAGTTATTTGGGTTTTCCTGTTGTAGCTGGGTCTTGAATGTTATTGTCCTGTTTGTGGATAGAATCTCCTCTCAGGTTGGCTGACTATGTAGCTTACCCCCAACCACGTCATGGAAGCTGTTGTGGAAATGCTGACAGAATAGAACAAAACACAACACAACAAAATGTAAAACATAAGAAACAAAACTAAAACTTACACAAGACCCCTGCAGCAAGTACAGAGAAGAGGAAATTAGGAAAGAGATTAGAGAGTAGGAATGATAGAAAAAAAGAAAGAACAAATATGAAGAGAAAAAGAACAAAACAACCAGACAGACAACCCCTCCCCACCCACACACACACAAAAAAAACAAAACAAAACAAAAAAGGGGTGGGGAAGGAATATGTCAGTGCAGAGTGGTCTTCAGGTGTTTTCTGTTCTTCCTTGGTATAAGTCTTCTCCTCAACTGGACCGCAGTTGGTAATTCCAAGTGAATGTTCTCCAATTTAGTTGTATTTCCAGTCTGGCCCTGGGAGGAGGTGCATGATGGGTCTGCCTATTTAGCCACCATTTTTTGAGCTCTCCTTTGAGTATTTTTTCATTCTTCTCTTTTTAGTATTAACTGCTTATCCTTGAGGACTTAATTCAATAATTCTCTGTAAATTTCTAAATTATTCTTTTCCCTATGCCTCCAACAGAATTACTTATCTTCTGCTTTTTGCTGTCATAGCACTATATAAGTGGCTCTTATAGCACCTATGAATCATAAATATCTCACAGTTATTAAGACTGGGGCATGTGGAAATCTTGCCATCTGCAAAAACATGGATCAACATAAAGGGTATTGTGTTGAGTGAAATAAGCCAGGCAGAGAAAAACAAACGCCATGTGATTTCACTTATATGTAGAATCTAGAAAACAAACCAATGAACAAGCACAACAGAAACAGACTCACAGATACAGAGAACATTTTGATGCTTGTCAGAGAGGAGGGTTATTGGGGGATGGGAGAAAAAGGTAAAGTGATGAAGAAGTACAAATTGGTAGTTACAAATTGGCATGCAGATGTACAGCATAGGCAATATAATCAATAATCTATATATATATAAGGCTAATATGCAAAGTGTCTTCTTGGGAGTTTGACCAGGAGACTGGGAGTTCAGTTGCTCGCTATGACGTGCACTGACGACAAGGGGTGATGTGGAATGAAGGAAGGCCCTGGCTGGCTGCCAGAAGACCCCAATCAGCCCTGATTGCCCACCAGGATTAGAGACCTTACCTGTGCACGCATTTCGTGCACCGGGCCTCTAGTATTATAATAACTATATATGGTGTCAGATGGATCTTATATTTATCAGGGTGACCACTTTGTTAAGTTATATAAATGTCTGATCACTGGATTGTGCACCTGACACTAATTTAATGTGGTACATCAACTGTAATTGAAAAATAAAAAAATATTTTAAAAAGTCACGTGTTAAACCATCTTTATATCTTTCAGAACACGCATTTAGTAAACATTTGTTGAATTGAAATGCTTAGAACGCCATGCTTCTCATGATTAAGAAAATAGCTTGCCTCCTTAAATTCCTTGATCTATAGTAGCCCTCATTCACCATGTTGTCACACACCCTATTTCCACCTGTTATATTTTCGTTGGTTTCCAATAAAATTACTTTGAGATCAATCAAAGAGGGATCATTTTGTGCAGATGGAATGCAAGGAAAGCGGCTTTTGACTCGGTGTTGCATTTTGGCTTTGAGTTTCACTTCTTCTCCTTGTTGCAGGACCCTAACAGGAGTGTTCATACCAGCAGCAGCAGCAGCAGCAGCAGCTGTAGCAGCAGCAGCAGTAGCAGCAGCAGCAGCAGCAGCTGTAGCAGCAGCAGCAGCAGCAGTAGCAGCAGCAGCAGTAGCAGCAGCAGCAGCAGCAGCAGCACCAGTTTTTCAAAGCCTCACAAATTAATGAAGGAGCACAAGGAAAAACCTTCTAAAGACTCCAGAGAACATAAAAGTGCCTTCAAAGAACCTTCCAGGGATCACAACAAATCTTCCAAAGAATCCTCTAAGAAACCCAAAGAAAATAAACCACTGAAAGAAGAAAAAATTGTTCCTAAGATGGCCTTCAAGGAACCGAAACCCATGTCAAAAGAGCCAAAACCAGACAGTAACTTACTCACTATCACCAGTGGACAGCAAGATAAGAAGGCTCCTAGTAAAAGGCCCCCCATTTCAGATTCTGAAGAACTCTCAGCCAAAAAAAGGAAAAAGAGTAGCTCAGAGGCTCTATTTAAAAGTTTTTCTAGCGCGCCACCACTGATACTCACTTGTTCTGCTGACAAAAAACAGATAAAAGACAAATCTCATGTCAAGATGGGAAAAGTCAAAATTGAGAGTGAGACGTCAGAGAAGAAGAAATCAACTTTACCACCGTTTGATGATATCGTGGACCCCAATGATTCTGATGTGGAGGAGAATATGTCCTCTAAATCTGATGTGAGTAGTCTTGTTGGCTCCCCTCCTTCCCCTTCTGAGCTTTCAGATTTTATTTCAGATAGATTCAAGATAAAGAATAAGGGAAGAAAATGACAGCTGAACCATAACATGGTTTTATGGAAGTGCCTAGAAATCAGTTTCTTTAACTAATGGAAAGAAGGAAATGAAATCATTAGGAAACATGTAGATTTTTAGGCTGTGATTTAAAGGAAAGATATATTCAATAGTATTTGAACAGCAGCAGAAAAACGTAGATGGTCATTAGAGCTTAGGTACTATGCTTTTCAGTGATTGCCAAGTTAGGAAAGTAAGAAGAATGCAATAAAACTTGAATACAAAGGATAGTAAATTTAAAAGAGAAACTTAAAAAATATTATGGTTAAGCTATAATGTTGATCTATTTTATCAATGGAATGAAGCAATTTGTTTACATAAAGGGAAGGCTGGTGATAATATTTTTAAACAGTTTTATCTAGCAAAATTGATGTAACAATAGACTATACATATATAATTTGATAATTTTTAACATATATATGTGCCTGTGAAATCAGGTGACAGTATTTTAAAAACAAAATATTTATTTTCATGGTATAGACACTGTTTTGTTTTTGTAGATGTTCCAGACTGATTTAAAAGTACAACAACTGTACTTTCCGTATTAGTTTTCTCATAGTAGTAATGCTTTTATTGTGATCTTCATTGCAAGTTTTTTTCCTGAAAAAAGGGACTAACTTTTGTGGGTGCCCAAAAGGCCATCTAGTTTCTCCCCAAAATGTTACCTGATGTTGAAATTTAAACTTATAATTACAGATGTCAGAGTTGGAAGGAATTTTTAGGTTATCTATTCTAATCTGCCAGCGTAAGAAATCTTACACTTTAGAGACAGGACTGTTAGTAATTCAAAAGGTATTCGATTCTGTTTCTAGAGAATAGGCTAAAAACATTATTTACTATGAGATTATCTCTTCCTCACATTTCCTTTTTCTCTAATTTTGGCCTTCTGTCATTACTTATCAGTCATGATCGATCCTAATAGTCTCCACATACTGGCTTGTCAACATTTCTAGACAGTGGTCAAGGAAAATGTCTGGCTAAAAATTGCTGGCGATTTGAGAATATTACTTCTCTTCCTATTCCCAAGCTTCACTTCACAAATGTTCTTAGTTCAAATGCTGGCGAGCTTTAGGGGATCTTAGTAGCAGATTCTCTCTCCTGTGTTTGCACTGTTTTGGGTTGAAAGCCAGCCAGAAATAGGACATGGCATCCATACCCATCTCTAGTCATCCAGAGACCACTTCCTTCCCCCCTACTCTCTAGAGCTAATCTTGAAATTTAAATAGAAGGTCATTATTAGGAGCAGAGTAACGTAAAAAATCATGGAGATGGAGTAATTCATCCCAGTGTTTGGTAAAAGTGTAATAGTATAGTTTGTGAAATGGAGATGAGAGCTAATGGGTTTGTTCCAATATTTCAAACATTTATTTTTTCTCCTTTTCTTTTTACCTCTCCTTTTAAATCAAAACTTGTTCTTAAGGCAGATGCTACTTGGAACTTTTTTTTGTATGTTTAACTTTTATTTCAAATCACCCTGAAATGTTCACTGGTGCAGTTGGGTTGTGATTAGTCTATCAAGATTGTCAAGTTTAGCAACTTTGTTCTGACATGTTGTGATTTTTCTAGGAGAGAGGTTTTTAAATTATGGGTTGTGATTCACTGGTGAGCCATGAAATCAATTTAGCATGTCATCATCAGTATTTTTAAAAAGTCAGAATACATTGTAATTAGTAGGGGTAAATAGTGGTTCATGAAATTTTTATTTCAGAAGGTCGGTTATTTCTTATAGTAGGTCATGGTGAAGTTTTTAAAAGGCATCTTTCTTGAATGTTTGCTGGTTTGTGAGAAGACTAATGCCATTCTCCAAGCAGTATTGAATGTTCTTTCTACATGAAAGTATCCTAGGTTATCTTTCTCTTTAGGTAGTTTTGTGTGGTCTTGTTTTTGTTTGCCTCTTGCACCTTCCCTTTTTCATGATTTATAAGGTATAGCTTTTCTTTTCATAGACTTTATGTCCAACTAGGTATATTTATTCAAAGCTATAACTTTAAAAACCTTCTGGAATGAAGAGTTAGAATTATAATTCCTTACAGTGGGTAGCAAATTTTTTAAATAATTCATGATATAATAGAGCCACATATCCAGTGGTCATAACAGGAGTTTTTGTAATGTACATATCGTTATTGAGAAAGCCTGCGAGGGTTTGACATGCTTGCACAGACTTTCAGGTTTTATTTGGATATCAAACCCAACAACTGCACCTCCCTTATCAGTTTTCTGATAGGAGTAATGCTTCTATTGTTGCTGCTATTGGTTTAATTCTCTAAATGTAGGTGGTATAACAGAAGAGAATTAACAATAGTGGTTCCAAGTAAGCCAGGGCCCAAAAGACCATTCTGTGAGCAAAGGAGAATAAAAGAGGGCTGAAATTTTCTTTATTCGTTAGTAAAGATAACTTTTGTTTGGCCTTTCTACTACCTGATGTCCCTCCTGTGGGCAAGACAACGGAAGGAACAAACAGGAGGCAATTGTAATGGAGAGCCCTTAGCAGCCCTAAACTTCCCTTGGCCTATAATTACCTTGATGGTAGCTTGGGGTAGACCCAACGTCACGGAGCAACATTCACATTGTCCTGGTGGTGAGCGTGTCTGCATCTGAGTAAGTGTGATCAGATGACCTCATCTCTCTAAAGTCCTTTCCAGCCCAGCTGGTGTAGCTCCTCAGGAACCAAGAGGTCCCCGGTTTGATTCCTGGTTAGGGCACATGCCCAGGTTGTGGACTCGATCCCAAGTAGAGGGTGTGCAGGAGGCAGCAGATAGATGATGTTCCTCTCTCATCGATGTTCCCATCTCTCCATCCCGCTCCCTTCCTCTGTCTCTAAAAATCAATAAAAACATTTTTTAAAAAGTCCTTTCTAGCTTCATTATTTAAATGTGAGCCAGATTTATGTTCATTCGTGAGGGATGGGGTGGTAGGTAATTTTAGACACAGCAGGTGGAAATCATGAACATTGGAAACAGAAGAAAGACACAAAAAATAATTGGAAGAGTGTGAAGAATTAAGAAGGGCTGGGGTAAAAAGATTATTTACCTGGTATGTCGTAAAAAAACACACAACAACATCTTGCCTTGGTATAAGTTAGTTATAATGAAAAGGAAGAACTTTTTAAAGAAGTTTTTAAAATAAGTTAGATTCAGGTTTTATATAAAAATCAGTGCTATTGACATGGATTGGGAAGCTTAGATTGCTGATTGATATGGTTGTTTTTTATTAAGATTTTTATTTTCTTTTTGTAAACAAGAGGAGGCAAGCCTAAAGTACATCCATGGTTTGTATGCCTTTTTTTTTTGTGGGATCACTTATTTGAAGATAAATATTTAGGTAGGTGGGTAGATGGGTAGGTAGGCAGAAAGGGAGTCAAGTAATCCAGTATTTATGAGTCTATACTGTGGTGTTAGACAAGCTGGCTGTGTTTTGAATTCCACTTGTAACTGTGATCTTGGGCAAACGGTTTAATCTGCTCTATTTCTTAGGGTTTTTGTTTGTTTTGTGTTTTTTCTGTCTGTGAAATGGAGATTATGATAGTATTTACTTTGTAAAATTATTGTGAAAATAGTCAGTCTGGGTAAAGCATTTAGTAATCTAAAAATCTGAGTCAGCCCTAGCCATTTTGGCTCAGTGGATGGAGTGTCAGCCTGCAGACCCAAGGGTCCTGGGTTTGATTCTGGTCAAGGGCATGTATCTCGGTTTCAGGCTCCTCCCCAGCCTGGGCCCTGGTCAGGGCATGTGCAAGAGGCAACCAATCGATGTGTTCCTCTCACATCTGATGTTTCTTTCTGTTTTTCCCCTCTCTCTCCCACTCTCTCTAAAATCAATGAAAAAATATCCTCAGGTAAGGATTAAATAATAATAATAATAAAAATAATATAGAAAATAAAAATGTGAGTTAGCCATTGTTATGCAAGATCTGGCTCTGGAAACCTTTATAACCTAAAGCATTGAAAGATATTTTTGATATTCAATAACACCACAGAATGCACCTGTCCTTTATTAAGTGTGTGGCTTATATGTTTTAGAGGGCAAAGGGTACTTGCAATGGATGTCATGTTGCTCTGAATTTTTGTCTTGAGGAGATATATGACATTGATATTGATATTCATGTGTTACATATGTTCTGTGGGGATAAACAGGACTAAAAAAAGGCTCCAAGTTTGTTTTTTATTTTAATTTTTATTCTGTAATATAAAGCTCTTTTTTTAAATGAGGATATATTTTTTAATTGATTTTTAGAGAGATGGAGAGAGAGAGAGAGAGAGAGAGAGAGAGAGAGAGAGAGAGAGAGAGGAGGGGCTGCTGCCCAAATATATCCAACTGGGGCTCAAACCTGCAACCCAGGCATGTGCCTTGACCAAGTATGGAACCTGCCACCTTTTTGGTGTTGGGGATGACACTCCAACCCCAACTGAGCCACCTGGCCAGAACTAAAGCTCTTTTTAATTAAAAAATCATTGATACACAATATTATATTAGTTTCAGGTATACAGCAATGATTTGACATTTATGAAGTGATCACCATGAGAATTCTAGTAACCATCTATCACTATATAAAGTTATTGCGATATTATTGACTGTATTCCCAATGCTGTACATTAAATCCCCATGACTTATGTTATAACTATAACTTTGCACCTCGTAATCTCCTTCACCTTTTTGCCCATCCCCCACCACCCAAGCCTCTGACAACTATCAGTTCTCTGTATCTATGAGTCTGTTTGTTTTTTATTTGTTTAGTTTTGTTAGATTTCACATATAAATGAAATGACACAGTATTTATTTTTCTTTGACTTATTTCACTTAGCATAATAGCCTCTCAGTCCATCCATGTTGGCAAGCATTCTGGGAGCCTGGGAACCAGAGGGCTCACCGCCCATTGTTGGTTCTTGGCT